TTCACAAGCTGAACAAGTTAGGATGTTGACAGATGAGAAATTGTTTTCGTCGGATCTAAATCATGCAAAACGTTTAAGAAGTCAGCTGTGTGACGGGGGYAAAAAATGAAAACACTCAACTGTTACACTGTGAGATTGACATCTCTCCCCATCATCTGTCCCCAGATCAGCTCCGGAGCAGATGGTGCTTTAAAGTGTSAGCGAGACGGTTTTGAGTTCACGTGTGGTTCTTTCTGACCTCTCTGAACTCAGCACTCGGGGTAAAAGGAACACAGCTGGTCAGATGTTTTCCCTGCCGTGGTCACAATCACCTCCAGTTAGGAGGACTGACTCAGGCCGGTGGGGGTGTGGGGAGGAGGAGGGGTGGGGTGCTCCGRGGCGAGCAACATTTGAGCCATGTTATCAGATGAAGAGCTTTCATCTCCACCAGGTGGAACAGGATGCATTTTGATGGAGGCACGCTACCTCCTTTATCCCGGTGTGATGGAGCGATATGACTCCAGGCTCATGCTGCTGCAGGTCGGACTGTTATCCTCCACAACAAAACAGCTGAGCGCTGAAAAAGACTTTAGCTCTAGGTGTGTTTGTTGGATTTTTGATACCTTTTAGGACTTTTTCTGGTACAGTCAAGTCCAGTAGTGCTTATGGGATCTAGTCCTAAAATTAGGGAACATCATTTTTTTGTGTGAGGGGTTAGGGCTAAGGTGTGGATGTACTGATGGAGCCACAACTTGTGTACCAAGCCTCTGACTGCTGGAGACTGATACAAGGACCTCCATGACCCTGAACAGGAACAGGAGTAAAGAAAATGAACTGATGAATGAGGATAGTTAGAATTAGATTTAAGGGTTAGGCTACAGAAATGAATAGAAGTTCATAAGTCCAAATATGTATAAAATACAAACTTGTGTGTTGTGTGTCAGAAGAAGTTGAGTAAGACAATAAAACCTAACTGAGCCACATTGTGTTTTGGGTCAAATAGTCCAAAGATGAGACTGATAACTCCTGTAAATCAACTTCTAAAGACCCTGCAGTTGTCTGGTATGAATTTAAACTGGAAATCCAAGGATTTGTATACAGAGTGAGGCAAAAGTCTCAGACACTCCTTTGTTTCAGAAAAGAAAAGAAAAGAAAARATCCYACTACTCCAGCAAYAGTGAGGGGGTTTATCTTTTACATWATGTCCAGAACATGGCYGCCATCTTGAAAGKTGCCYTWTTGGATCAAAGWCAAAATTTCCCAAGGCAGKGGGGGGTCATGCCACATATCAGATAAGACCAGAATTGTCTCAGAAGTGGATTGCCGCAATCARTGTCTTCTCTTGTGGTTCAGAAGTTATCAACACAGCAAGGAAAGGTGCAACAACAATTTGGAAATGTTGTCTGTTAATTGATATGTTCACTGTCCCATCCCTGCTGGCAAATTTTGACTTTGATCCATTAGGGCAGGTTTCAAGATGGCAGCCATGTTCCGGACATAATGTAAAAGATACACCCKCTCACCCATTAKTTMGTGGGGTWTTCATATATTTAATTTTCCCTTTTCTTTCTGAAATAAATGAGTGTCCCGAGTCTTTTGACTCACTCTACAGAAGTCTAATACACCGTGTAGAGTCTACCCAGTATATTAGACTTCTGTAATCTCAAACTCAACTTCCAGCTTTAGATATATTTAGACGGTTTTCAGAAATCCACATCAGTATGTCTGAAAAACCAGTGGAGTAAAACACCATTGTAATCTTTTTATGTTTCATTTCAWAGTTTTTAATAAATACTTTTAGAAGCAGTGGGTGATATGAATCCCTGTAAGMAAGTCTCTTAATTGATATTTTAAGTAATCAGAAACCAGTGCAAAACCAGCACCTGAAGCTGCCGTTCATGTGAAGATACCAACAATAAAAGACTAATGAGTAAAAACAATGAGTGGTATTTGACTGAATGCTGATTGATGTTGAAGGAAGGTTCGAAGAGAATAGTTATAAAACTAAACCCACTACTAAACAATACTTTTACTAGAGAAAATACAAATCAAGGCTAAAGTACTTCATATGCTCTCAGTAGATTAACATTAGTGAGAGCATAAAGATAGAGGTGCAGCACATGATCAGTGCTTTGACTGTAAAAGTGATCCAGACCTTAAAACCAACATGATCAACTAAATCTCTTTCTGCAGTTTAAATAAATGCATTTATCAGAGGTTCTCAAACTGCAGCCCCAGAACCCACAGGGGTCAGCAAGCCATAGCTTTGGGGCCTCCAAAATAAATGACAATAAATAAGGGGTACACCGATACCAGTTTCTCTCTCCTTTTTTTTTGCCACTTCAGCAGTAAGCAGAACTGATTATTAGTTTATTAGTTTCTTCATCATCAGTGACTTTTTTATAATAAAGAAAAAAAAGAAAAAAGAAAGGTGAAATGTAATGGGAAAGTGTGAAAGCACCAAGAAAACACAAGACAACACACCTGACATCTGTCTGCACACCTGCAAAAACAGAGAACAAAAACACAGCAACAAAATGCATTTGTATATAATAATAATGATTATAACCTTGCTGAAAGGTATACATGCATATGTATGCCCATACTTACATATACATATATATACATACACATTCAATCAGTGACCGACCAAAAATCCCAGGATTTGAACACCTGTTTGTGCAGTTGTGAGCAATGGAATGTTTAAAAGTGACTGTGGAAATACGGTATTAGTTTTTCTCAAACTGAGTACAAGTATGAGGACTTTAGTTTTGATATTTGTCTATACAGAGTACTTACTAAGTTATAACCTAAACATTATACAATGACTTTAAAAAGACATTTCTTTTATTTAGAATAAGGGGTCTATCCTTCCTTATAGGCCTACAGCCCCTCTGACTGGATCAAATCAAATATACTACAGGACTGAAACATTTATAAATAATTAAAAATAAGATTTTCTTTCAACTTGTATAAATTGCTTAAACTTGGAACTGAAACTTTTTCACTTGAAATGTAAATTGGAACACACTGAATGGAGTGTCAATACCAGCAGGCTGATATTGACATCAGTTTTGAGTATCGGGGTATTTTGAATGAGTGTGAGTACAAAAAATGTTGGTATCTGAACACCACTGCAATAAATGACGTTTTTTCATTCCATTTAAATAAGTGCATACAGACAAACACAGAAACACCAACAACAAAAAAGATTCTCATGACATTTAGGGGTTAATATGACAGCAAATTATTTTTAATCTGAGAGCACCAGACCCAAGTAGTTTAAGAAACTCCGGTTTAGATCAAACACAAACCTAATGAGTAACAACAACTAAAATTAAATTAACTTTAACAATAAAAAATGTACTCATTGCAAAATTATAATACTAAAAAAACAAACAAACATTAAAAAATACTCTGAAATGGTGTCCCAACATRGGGATGCAATACCAGCATTTTTACAGAGAAATTTATACAAGTTGAAAGAAAATCTTAATTTCATTTATTTAAAAATGCTTCAGTCATGCTGAGGGGCTGTAGACCTATGAGGAAGGAGAGACCCTTTGCTCTAAATGAAATAAATGTCTTTTTTAAAGTCACTGTGTTATGTTTTAACTCACTCTGTATCAGCACTCATGCTTATACTCATTTGGTTTGAGAAAAACTGTCAGGACAGTCTGAACTGTATCAGAAAGTTCTGTTCATACTGAGGTGTAAATCTGAAATGTGGGTATGAACTCATTGTAAAGAAATTTCCCAGTATTGTTTCATTGTACTTACCGTACCTTAGTTCAAGGATTCAAAGATTTTAATTAAGATTTAAATCTGCATTACTCAACAATCCTGAGCAGAYATCTGCACCAGTGACCCTCAGACTTCAGATCTTCCAGCAGTGTCACCAGATTTTCAGTCACTTTGGCTGTTTCTAGAAGTAAGCAAAGTTGACACAAATTCAGCTTATAACTCCTCTTAATTTAAAGGAAATCACAATGGAAGAAAAAAAAACACAAATTTTGTTTATGTTTTATGAATTCTTCATGAGTTGCAATTTTAAAAACTCGCTATGGAGATTTTAAAAATCTAAATAATTTGGAAATATTCTGCTTTAAAATGCTTTCACGTGATTAAAAATCCAAGATTTGGTTTTTTAAACACGCTGAAGAAGCTGAAAATAAATGTTTAAAAATGTATCTGAACAAACATGGAGAGAAAAATATCACCTCTTTTTATAATTATAAGCATAATAATGATAAATAAAAAGGAGTGAATTGAAAAAGATAATATAAACATTAACACTTCATAAAATAAGAGAATAAGAATTGAAACCTTATGGAATTATATGATTAAATATGCTCYTATAAAAGCAGTGTTTTGCCCCCCCACCCCTGCTGCTGGTCATATTTCCAAACGGAGGCGCGGCCAGCAATATGAATTATGATCCTCCCTCTGGAGGCACGCGGAGCAGATTGACTGAAACACCCGGGAGTCCAGCACGAGACAGGAAACAGAGCAAAAAAACTCATTTCAACTTATATTTGATGATTATTATTATTTTATATTTGTCAGTTTTGCTGTGATGCGATGGAGGAGTGAAGGGAAGGTGGGGAGCTGTGAGAGCGGCTCTCTGTCCAACACTGAGGTGAGTCTTCAGGAGTGTGTGTGTGTGTGTGTGTGTGTG